AGTACTGTCCTGAATAAGCTATTTCACATAACAGATGTTTACATATACTCCACAAGACAAAATAATAACTTAATATATATATAGTTGTAAGTCAATTGCATTGCAGTATTTGTTATACTGCCATTATCTTTTCTGATTTTATGAAAAAAAAATAGTTGAGGATGTGTTTTGAACTGCATGCATTAAAATAAGTCTATTATTGGACGGTTTATTTGTTTTGTTTTTTGCATTGTGACATTTTTTCATGACAATTAAGCACAATTTGGCACTAAAATTGTGTGTGTGTGTAGGACATTTTTTTACCTTTATAGAGGGCATTTTCCCACTAATCTCATAAATACTTTCATTTCAAATTCTAACATTTGATCTATAAATTCAATTATAATAATGTGATTATCTATACGTCATCAAATTAAATCATTTACACTGAAAAATACAACTGCATTAAATAATATTATGAGATTCTTTTAAATATTTTTTTTTGTATATACAAACAAGAAATGATGGTGGAAATTATACTTTTCAACTAAATTAAAACGCCAGTGCCAGTAGTGTTTAATGAGTGAGTCATTGAGTATACATAAAAATGTTTGCCCATAAGGTACAGCTGTAAGAAAATAGCATTTTTTCTGATTTTAATGAAAATTTATTTCAGTTTTCGAACTGCATGACAAAAAAATCGTAATGTCCTAAAAAAGACTTAATGTTTTTGTTTTGTTTTTGTTGTTTTGCACAAATATATTTACTTTGACTTTTGGAAATTATCTTTTGGTAAGATTTACTGGCAGTTTACAGATATTAAGAATGTGAGAAGCTTTTTATGATTGTATATGATCAGTGAGCTCTGTTTTATAACTGTATCTCCAGCCTGGTCTCATGTTTATACGTAGGAATTAATACGTAACATTTACAAGCACAAAACGTAAATTTTTGTACGTTTTTATTAATGCTAAAACGTACAATTTAGATGTATTTCAACTTTTAAAATGTACAAATCGCTACGTATTTTTAGCTAAAATACGTACAAATATTTACGTATCTTTTATATCATTAAGATATTCGTATCAATGCATTTTTATCATTTTATCAATAAGCGATTTAGATTTTTAGACCCCTTAACCTACCTCCAAACCTAAACCTACCCATTTTACAGCGAATATGCATTTTTATAATTTTATTAATACGCAATTTAGATTTTTAGACCCTTTAACCTACCCATTTTATAGCGAATATAAAAGGATATAAAACGCAAATGACCGAAATATGCAGGAAAATAACCATTTTAGTAACATAGCATTAAAATATTTTTAGTCTCTAATCCCACTCCTATTTATAAACCTAAACATTTCTGTACAGTATAAGAAACATGACAGACAGATAAATGCAATTACAATCATTTATTTATTGCAAAAATGTCAAAAGCAGCACCTGTTTCATTTCGTAATTATGTTGCGTTTTTGGTGTATTTTATAGTTCTATTGTCAGTCACAGCATGTTGGGAACAAACGCCTTTTGTGGCCCATGGCAATCAAAGTAAACATCATATGACAAGTAAAACGTAAGTAAATGTACGTTTATAGAACCACATGTTACGTAAAATACATACGAATTATCATGAGATCACGTTGGTATCTCCCCCAGCAGTCATTTCTAGTTACCCAGAGATCCTCATGAGTCAAATTAGGCTCATTGTAATGATGTACAGGTTGAGGATGGCTGTGTTTTATGGAGGGAAACATTCTCATGGGGCGGCGTGTGCGTCCATACGACCTTTCATATGAACATGTGACATGAAATGCATTCGCTGTAACTCTTCAGATAGTGTGTCACTGACAGCGGACTGTGTGTCATTTCCAGCAAACACTGTCGATCAAGGCCAGAAATCGACTTGATAATGAATATTAAATCAAATGTGAAACCTGCATCGACCTCCTGAAGATTAATATTAGACTGGTTCAGAGCTGAAATGATGGCAAGCAGATGCCTCAACCTGCCAAATCAAGCTGGAGAACAAGATCATCAGGTGCATGTCAATAGAGACACAGCAAATACTGAGACAATTCATATTAGTTTTTCATTGTAACCTTGTAAAGCTTGACACATGAAATAATAGTCCAATTACCTTTTTTTTTAATGGAACAGTTTATTGAACCATCTTTAAAATTTTGCATATTTTACTTTTATGGCTCATTTAATCTGACATAGTGAGAATATGGAGTAAAAAACAGCTCAGTTTTATTCAGAGGCCCAAACTGAGCAAAAATATGCAATATGGTGCAGATGCTACTAGTCCTCACCAATAATATGTCTTGAAATTATCCAAACATATAATGCAATGCAATCCAATGCTGATTGAGAGCTGAAGAAATAAACACTCCTCAGAAGATGTGAGATGTTCTGGAGGCTTGTGAAGTAAAGGTTCTGGAAACAAACGCTCCTCAAAAGATTTGAGACTCTAAAAAATGATTGATGGAGAATCAAGTAAAGCCGAGCTGCTTCAGTCCAGTAAGTGTTCATCTGGAGATATTACTACAGTTATTCTCACGTTTACTTAATTAAAATCGGTAAAGATTTGACAGCAGAAAGACACGAGAAGCACCAGCTGAAGGTGTGTGCAATTACACTAAAAGATCAGACGACAGAAGACATGCAGTAGATTGAGTGCAACATGTTTAACAGCAAAGTTTTTGTCATGTTGATCATTTAGAGACCTATCAAATATGATACAGTAGCTTTAGGGATAACTTTTTACTCAACTGCAAAGCTGATCATATAACTTTATAGCAAACAACAGACCTAAGATCTTGATGTTCATGCACATGTTATTTGTCAACTACATCATGGTTTTTTTCTTCCCATGGACCATTGAGCTGCCTGTGGCTCAGTGTCTGAATAAAAGCACTTTCATCAGGCGCGATGTGTTCAGTTCACTGCCGTTGCTGTGGAATGGAATGCAGCGTGTGGTTTTCGCTCGAGATGTTTGGTACAAAAGCTGGAGCGCATGGTTTTGTGTTCAGTCGCCGCTGTCCGTGTACGTTTGAAGTGATTGTACGTCGCATCTCGTTACAGAGGGTGTGAGGCAACATGCTGTGAAGAATATTAACATTGCTCAACGGTTGCTCTTCTGAGCTTAATGGAGTTCTCGTGTCGGTTAAGCTTGTTTCAGATGTTTCTCCTACATTTTCTTAGAAGAAATCAGTGAACAGTTGACATACAGTCTATAAAATGAATATGGAAGTGGCTTATATCATTTGGTCTTTGGAGAATTTGATGAGAAATGTTTGAGTTCGTAATGAAATCTCTGACTTTTGATTGCAGATCTTTTGCAGGACTTTTTCTCAGGAGAAACATCTTAGAAGCAGAAAACTTAACCAAACATTAACATTAGATCTCCATTGAATTGCTATCCAGGAGAAACCATTGAGATATTTTGTGATCTATCACTTTATATTGCAGATTATATTATCTTAGGCTAGTCTGAGATAGTAGTTATGTTTCCATCACCCTGTTTTTATGCCCATTCTGAAGAATCGCATTAGAAAAAAGTAACAAAAATTTTTAAAAATCCCTTAATTCACAAAAAGTTTTGCCGCTTGCTTGAAGTGGTTTTTGACTATGCGAATAATGGGAGATGGAAATGCATCTACCTAATAAATTCCTCCATGCACATCAAAAAAGTCATGTGACTTTGCACGATGGGACGGCATAACTGGACTAACCAGTGGAATGACCGCATTTATTGTGACGAGTGGGGCGGGGCCGAGAGCCATGGGAACGGAGCGAGGCCGGTGGAGTAATTGATAATGAGCGACACCTGCACCACTCACCGGTCTCGAGTCCCACAGAGGAGCTCCGGAAGGATTAAAAAGAAGAGCTATGACAGTGAAAGAGGAGAGAGGACCAGGCCAGTTTATCAGGAAGTGACAATTTTCTTCTTTTTTTCTTCAAGGGAACGTACACGTTACATTCAAAGGGCATTAAAGTGCCTATAATATACACAAAGGATATCGGCCGATATATCGATATCGGCCTTTTTTTACTCCCTAATATCGGTATCGGCCCCAAAAAACCCATATCGGTTGGGCTCTACATATAAGAAGCACAAAAGTATCCATTCTCTCTCCTCGTTGCAGTTTTGGAGGAGATATCGAGATCTCATTGAAAACTCAAATGCACCTCTTCTTGTTTGCAGAGTCAGGTGAAGTGGATCCAGAGATCGCCCGTCTGAATGCTCTGGGCTTCACCGGCTGTTTGTCTGTGGTCCAGTTTAACTCCATCTCTCCGCTGAAGGCGGCTCTGCTGTATCCAGACACCAGTCCTGTCATAGTCACTGGACCGCTGAGCGAATCCAGCTGTGGCTCGTCTTTACCGACAAACCCCTACGCCGCTGAGACCACTCATTCTCTCACAGGTAACGCCATCAAAACTGATACCCACTTCCTTCACTGGTTTAGTTATAGAGTGCAACAGTCGGGTTCTTGAAGTAAAAATCCCATTCCTTTTCTCCACAGGTGAACTGATTTTTACCAATAACTCATAAGCCTTTAAAGACAGATCTATTGTGAGCTACCAGGTTGTTAAACAATGGTATATGCTTTTGTTGAAGCTCTCAGTTCACATTATTTCAACTTTTTTACTCAACTGATAATCCTCGTATCAGAACCATAAATCTATCAAGAGCCTTAGCCAATGGATTTAGTGAATTTACAATAAATATCAACCCGACTTATAGTTTAATAAGTACATGAAGACAAGCAAACTCTGATTTAAGCTTTGATGCGAACACTAATTTAAGTGTCAGACTGAAATTCATAACTTTGCACATACGGATATGAGCAGACTCCTAAATGATTGTGAATATGAGATATTAGGTTTTAGATTAGTGATTTGTCACTGCAAAAAATTATTTTCTTACTTAGTATTTTTGTCTTGTTTTCCAGTACAAATATCTAAACATTCTTAAATCAAGAAACATTTGCTTGAGAAGCAAAATGACTTAAGATTATACATCAAAATTAAAGTGAGTTTTTTTTTCCTTAAAATGAGAAGAAATATCTGATAAAAGGCAAGAAAAATACATATAAAAAGATATAGTAATGAAGACAAAAACAGCATTACATCACTTTTTTTAAACAATTTGTTTGTTGTTAATGCATGGGTATATGTCAAACGATTAATCACATCCAAAAGTTTTTGTTTACATCATAAATGTGTGTGTACTGTGTATATTTATTATGTATATATAAAGACACACACATACAGCATATATTTTGAAAATATTTACATGTATTTACATGTATATATTTATATTCATATAAATTATTTCATATATAAACATATTTAATATATAAACGTAACATATTTTTTAAAAATATATACATGCATGTGTGTGTTATATATACAGTGGGTACGGAAAGTATTCAGACCCCCTTAAATTTTTCACTCTTTGTTATATTGCAGCCATTTGCTA